AAAATGGCACATAATTAGTTAACTGAACCACCTTCCAACAGATATTCTTGTCCGTGAAAGATTCCATTGCCTAATGTATTGCACATGTGACTTGGATTGCGTGAATGGGCTGTTGCATTTACCGTCCTCTGGTGGGATTCGATTATAGCTAGCTAACCACTGATGTTGAAGGTGTCACAACTACACCGCTGTTACGTCTCCATGCGACGGCAGGTACCAAGGGAAAATCATGGTGGGCAGATGCCCATTCCTCGTCCCCACTCATGTGTATTTACTGACCGTCTGCAAGGTCACCAGGGCGCATCCGTCACTGGGAGTGGGACAATAGGATTAACAGGGTTAGTTTGCACACATAGGAATAGTCCAGGGTGAACATTTGAGGTCGTTGGAAGTGAAGTACTCAGGCTAACTGAATTGAAGTGGTCACACTTTGGTGTTGAAACACGCTCAATGTCATGGCAACAATTTGGTTGGTGGAAAGAGAGTCCTTCATGACATGAAAACGTCGAATCTTAATTAGTCTGAACTTTTTTTTGCCTTTTTGAGGCTCAACTATGGCTAAGGCGCCGCAGTCTGCACCACCTAGTTTGTCTGCACCGCCCGCACTGCCCGGTGAGTTTGAATATTCTTCTATTTAATCTGTGTGTGCCACTCATATTTGCAAAATATTAACTGCAGTAATGTAAACTTTCAATGGCCGAATTTGGTCAATTACCTGGTTCGCTTGTTTCTCACTTTTTTGACTGTAAGCAACGATCCGTTCGAAAGATCGACAGCTAGTGATTGGATGTACGACCTGAAGGTGCATCACGTCATGTTGAAACCTGACAGCATTTAACAGTTACGTGTTTGGAGGAGATCCCGTAAATACTTTTGGAGTCAAGTAGTTGGAGTTACTTGAATTGCCGGGAATATTTAAGGAAGCCAGAAGCAAGCAGAGGATTCAAACCTGAGCATACGACATCGCCAAAGGTCTACCAATAAACTTCCCTCAAAGTTATTTCGTCGTGTTTGTGCGGCTTGTTGTAATTACAGCACCATTCACTGAAATACGTGAATGTGGTCTAAATGCCATGGCCGGTTGCAATATGCGTGTTCACTAGTTCTTGAGGTAATTTTCACCGAAATTTATTGTACTCCAAAAACCAATAAACTCTCATGCAGATAACTGCATAATGCAGGCTCCTTTTTTTAATTTTAATGATGTCGATCATCCGCGTGTTTTTTCAAGGCCCCACTGTAGACAGACATCGTTACCTAAACCGCCCAATTCGTTGCATGTACTTCGATTTAAAATATGTCTCGAACATTTTGTACATCAACTCAAACCTATTTCACATGACTGGTCCTACTGAAATTACGCTTGAATGCCTGAGAGACTGCTACGCAAAGACTTAAGCGTCGTTTTCGGCCAAATAGAGCGAGTGGATTCCCTCGACATGGTCAAACAGCAATTGTTTCAAGATGACTTAATTTCTGGTGCTCGGCTGGATGCTTCGGCGGATTTCGACCATTCGAGTTGCTGCACTCTGAAATGCATTTTTGTGCGACTACCGCATAAGCATGTTGAGTTAGTTAATGTCCAAATGGACCACCTACCTGATCGTGTGCTGGAGACGTCTCTGAATGCACAGAGTTCTTCAGGCATGGAGCTATGTCCAGTGAGGTTTCGAGAGTGTTTGGAAGCGAACAGGATTTCGGTGAAGTTTTGTCTTTATAATTCGCGTAGATTTGTCACAATACCACTTCACAAACCAAATCAAAATGACTAGCAAGGAACAAAGTGGTAAGAAATTTCATTATTACATTTGGTGATAAAAATTTGAAGTGGCATGTTTAGTTTTTAAATTGAGACAACTACTCCATACGTTGACTGTGGCTTCCCTATATTTTTTTAAAATCTTTGTGTAAGCATGCTGAAGTAGTTAATGTTCAGTTAAACTACCAACACGATCAAGAAACCATGGGTGTTTCAGAATACAGCGAAGTGGTCAGGCATGGCAGATTGATTTTCGAGAAAATGCAGAAAATTGAGTCTTTGTTTATTCTTTGTGTAGTATCGGCAGAATACGACGAGCCAAACCAAGACATTACAACTAACAGAACGCAAGGTGGTAAGCGCTGTGGATTTTTTATGTTACCAATTAGTCAGTAAAATCGATTTAGATCATTTCGCGTGGATAATCAAACTTATTAGTTGACAAGCACCACCAACCAACATTCAACGGCTGTTAATGGCCTCATTTTAGAAACGACATTGGTAAAAGTTCCTTCTGGTTCAGAAGCACAAAAGGAACAGTCGAATCAAGGTAAGTGATGCGATTCGATTATCTTAGATGAACCGAAACTCCACATTGTTCTGGCTCAAATCTAGTGTTTTTCGGTTCATGCAGTATTTGCAGAATGACTTCGTAAAGTCACAATTGTAAATTAGTTCAGAATGTTGGCCAGTGCTGTGCTTTTGCCCTGAATATATTTGTGCGAGACATCACAGAAACCAGCCTCTACCAAGAAGCC